ATGCCTATCATCTCCCATATGACAAATGCAAGTATCGTGTCCGTGCATTTTGAGCTCAGAAGTAAGCTTTTTAATGTTACGGTCTTATTAGTTTTAACAGAGAGTTCACTCCTATGCTTTTCGGCGTATCGGATAACCATAGAGGAATATTATTCGTGTGGCAAACTTAGGAAACTTTTCCCACCCTCTTGGTTCCGAAGTGCAGCATCAAATAAGCTAGAAGTGATGGTGATTCATCCGTGTTATTCCGCCTAGTAGCACATAATAGTGTTGCTCACAGGCCCGTGGTTCATGCAGCGTCCTGCAACTTCCCTAAAAGCGAAAGAATGCATACTCAGACAGACTAGGTATTGCCGACGTACAGAAGGGTCAGGGGGCTACTGACATGGCCCTAAGGCCAGTCCACCAGGTGGAGGTACAGTGGCGGAGCCCCTAAGTGGCCTGTTACCAAAACCGGGAGTTAAACTGACAGTTAAATTACTACAGTTTAGCTATTTCCATGACCTTGGCCATGATTAAAATGTCTAGCTGACACTAGAAGAAGATGTTTTTTAAGTCATCGCCTGGACGCCGTGGCTTCTTCTACTTATCTATGACGTGTGTGTGCATGTGTTGAATCTTTATCCTTACCGTCGTGGTAACTTGCATCTTTTTTGTCCTTCATTAAGTTTTAAAATTGGATCTCCACTCTTTTTTACAAGGCTCAATCTTGCATAGGGAAAGAAGGACAGGTCATTATGGTTATCCCTATACATAACGTAAAATTGGATGGCATGTTTGCATGGTAATTGATGTTCGTTGCTGTGAATGGCCCATCTTCTAGCCAAGCCGCCCAAATGAGCGCACAAATGTGCAGCACGAGAGGCAGAGAAGATGGAGGAGGAAAAGGTGGAGAGACAGGTGGTCTGTTCTCAGGAGAGATAAACGCGTAGGAGGCGTCATCATCAGGTGCGTGTGTGCGTACGATTCGGGTGTCAGCAGTTTCCATGGCAGTATTCCAATAACAGTACCATATTTTGCGTAAAAATGATATTACGCGTCTCTGGATGCCTTACAGTCACTGCAGTGCAACTCATCATTACTATGCTTAGCTGACAAAACGGGGAAGTCGGTCCATAAAGGGCATGCTATTTGATGCATTTGGGAACGAGTCATCGGAAGGAAGCGATACAGAGAGACTTGTAGATGATTTTGCTTTGATTTTCTCCAATTAAATGGGAATTAGAAATTATAATTGCTGAACAGATAGCTACATTTAATGCCATAAAATAATCAGCCGTGGGCTAAACTGTTACATACATACTTAAGGCCTAGGAAAACAAGTAAAGCTATAAAGCTATTTACCATTCAAAATGTGACTCATATCGTGTTCCGGCGATTCACCTAATGTTTTTGACCGAATTCAATGACATTTGACGATACATGATAACAAAACGGCCATGCAAGGGTGCGTGTATGTGTGTGGTGATGTTCTCACTGTCTGTGGCGCTTATCTTTGGAATTCCATAGCAGACGTGTTCGGTCTAGCACGAGAAGAGTGTATTCGAGACAGCTTCAACAGGACAATAAAAAAGAAGCCACGCAAGCATGAATGTACGTGTGTGTTTTATGATTTTGGGACCTCTATTACAGCCCCTTTTGCCAGCGCTTGTGAATGTCTAGCCTCGAATCGGCAGATTGAAACACTCACAGGATGGGTCTGATTAATAGGATTGATCTGGCAAGTACTCTTTAGAAGCACTTCAACCTGGGAGAAATGTTTCTTTAAGTGTGGCTTATTTCAAAAGCCTTGGTTGTGTTGATAACCTTGTACGCGTGTAAAGCCACTGCTACAAAACCATTTCCCAAAAAGAATTCCAAGCTTCAAAATGGGCTATTTTGTGAATCTACTCAGATGATGGTAACAAGCATGTGTCTTCTGACTGATTTTGCCAGATGAAAGGTATTGTGAAAGTAAAATAAATAGGCAACAAAAAGTATAGTATGGGTACCCAAAACTGAAGATTTACTTGCTTGAAGAAAGCCGAAATTCCCACGTTATACCCGTCATCTTGTTCACTACGTACCTCCAAACGAATCTGAACTAATAGAAGGCACTTCGGATTGGGGTACCCTCTACTGTCACTTCTCGCTTCATTGGAAGGGTGACGTTTCTTGTATTCTCAGTAAGGCAACATTTTTTTCTCGCATGTCAGGGATTTCTTTACCTTTTTCCACTTCTCTCTTCTACTTTCTTCCATTTTAACGATAGAAACAAACTCATTTACTTTAGCTATTAGATCTGTGTTCCTTCTCAGTTTCTTAATTCCAATTATACATTTGCTCATTGCTAAGGAAACATCTGATAAACTGTGTTGGAGTAGTTAGCGTCTCCACTGACTTGTTTATGTCTGCCTATGGATCAGTGTCTTAAATAATTTCTTGTTTTGAGAGCTTGTATTTCCTACCAGCTCTTGAAAGCCACCAGTATGCGTGTACTGAAGCGTTTCAAACATTTATTCCATTCCATTCCTATTTGTCCCGACTATTCTCATGCCAAATTTGGCATGTCGAACAGGCAGTTCCAATTGTTCTGGTGCCACTCCCTAGATCGCTTATGGCTTGTCAAGCATAATCATTGATGCTGCGAGTCTCTACATTTGGCACAGACTGTTTGGCTCAGGAGACAAAGATTTCATGGCGTGTATTTATTAATGGTGTACGTGCGTACGAGAGTCTTGGCAAGACAAAAGCTGAATCACTTTAATTCGTCTGATTTGTCTGAAAATGTGCTTAATCCCATACAACATTTCAAGTATCAACCATCAGGGACGGTGAGTAAATTCAACTCTTCGTTTTACCAACTTCAAAACACCAGTAATCTTTTTTTCTTGGAGGCAGCGGTACTAGTTTATTGTGCTTATCTTCCACGTACGATCAAATTCTATAATTTAGGCTTCAAATAATTGTACTTAAATTTTGACCAAAATAATGCAACCTACGTTTACTGAAATTTGACATTTAGTTCATTTGTCAAAGTAGGCGTAGTAGTGACAAGACTGAATAGCTCTAATTTATGCCAAACCTTTTCGACCAGCGTGCAGAGACCACATAACTGGACCAGACAGCATCCCTCCTCAATGCTTTTTATGCTAGATGTGCATGCAATTTATGGAGCAGGTTGTCATAATCTGACAATAGACTGAAATAGTCATCGCGACCAGACTTACTGCTTCCTCAAAAGATGATTCAGAGTGAGCTTTTAGGAGTATCACGTTGCCGGCTGTGCTACAGACCGTTGAGGAGGTGAGAGTGCCATGCATTATGTTTCAATGCTGCGGATAGACAAAAAAACAATCGTCTACGAGAAACGTTTCCTCTTTCAGACGGTGGATGCTAATATGTGCCGTATCCGAAGGAAGTCATTATCGTGTAATTGCAAGCTGGTTATTTTCTGTGACAGTATCAGATATTTTTGTGAACTTCACCTCCATAAAAAGTTTGTGGTCTTAATGTTTTAAGCTATTCCGCAGCCAAGAGTCTTAAAGAGTGTTTATCCCCACTTCCGCTCCTATATCAACTTTCATTAGGGTTTACATGAAAACAAACTAAATAATCACACCCACAATTTTAGGAATGGCCCTGTAAATACTAGTTATTTTTGGCCGGTGACGAGTTGAGAAGAAAGGCGTGATAGGACTGGATCTTGAGGTTAAACCTACCTAGTCCAAAGCCAGGCCAAATTCAAGCGTTGATTTTTTTGGAACTTTTATTTTTCCAGACTTGACAAATAATTCGTAACTGTTATTCCACTTTTGACCGCACTGGCGCTCTCTATCGCTTTTACTCCCTTAGCCTTCTCTCTGCTGCCCATTTTAGCCCTGCTGACTCACACCATACACACACACACCCACGTAAACCGCCTTTCGCTCCGGTATCAACTTCCCGTCTATTCCACCGTCTTCCACTTCCCTCCCCTTCTCCTGTCTCAAGCATCTCCTCTGACTATGGTTGCTTGAATATCGCATCTGAAGGTATCTATAGCAGTGTACTAGTGATAGATTGAAGTCAACTGATCAACTGGTCGAAGTGAAGAGTGGATCATTGTTGAGCCATCTGGCGCACACCGTGCATCTTCATGAGCGCTGGCGTCGCCTGAAGGCGCCGCACTTGTCCTGCTGAGAATGGCACTCGCTTCCGCTGTAAACAAAACGCTACAATGGATGATAAATAGATAGAATGGGCGACACGTCATAGTCATGGTCACACGCACAGACGTTTAGGACACGCCTAGAACCCATGTGCAATGACGCGGCTTCTTAATTCACGAGCTTCGCACCATTTCTCTACCTCCCTCCCTCCCCCTTTCCGCTCTCCTCTCCGCGACGTCGGTAGTGGTGGCCCATGTTGCTGTTGCTGTTGTTGTAATGAGTCAGTGGTCCTCCAGAGATCACATTAACCTGCTATCAGCACATGAATATGCGCATTCATAGCCATCGGCTGCAGCAACATCGGTGTTTGCGGTGGTGGTGTTAGCGGCGGTCTATTCCCGTCATACGGAGCCAAGAAATTGTCACCCCACATCCTTCTTATGCTCACTCTATTTTCTGTCCTTGCGCCGCTTCTACAGTTGTTGCTGTTGTTGTGATGGTCACACTCGCTATGACTAATAGCTTTGGCTAATGAGTGGGGATGACAGATTCTAGCCATGATTAAATTATCCCTAGTCTTCCCTCCTGCCTCTCCGAATTAATCCAGCCCAAATATATCTTCTTCCTTGCTGATTGCTGCTAATACCTTGCCTCCTTGTGCCCATTAAATGTTCGGGTAGCAGTGTTTGGTATCCTCGAGACATCCTGATATGACATGACTGTTTTTGAATGGTTATCCTAATGAAACTTGACTTTTAAGGTCAGTGCTGTGGCCCTTCTATTTTTGTGAATTTGACTTATTCCGACATCTTTTGTCAAAAGGCTCGACAGACGATAGTACAGGAGCCATGGATAGCGGGTTCCGTGCGTACGGTGAGCTCAGTCCAATCAGACACAGCGGCGGCAGCGCGCCTCCCTGATTTGACAAGTCCCGCCACCTCCGCTTCAAGCATTCTCACCGAGGTGAGAACTCAAGGCAAGCCAGTGATGGGGCTGAGACAGCACATCCAGACCCGAAAACCGCGCATCCTCTCACAGGCTCAGCTTTCACAGTCCTGTAGTGGTGTGGGTGTCAACGGAAACCGGCCTCAAAGAGACAGCACTCAGAGTCCTCAAATTTCTCAGCCGATTTCAGAGTTCTCACTAAACTTTGAGGCTACGGAGCAGGCGGGTAGATTGTCCAAAGCTTCCTTCGCCTGTGATGACCGCGTGGGGCAGGTTTGTTGAGTAATTCATTCAGCATTTCATCATGTGAAACTGTATATGTGCTAAGGTACCATCATGAAACTGTCAGTGACAAGATTGGTAAATATGGTAGGTGATCCTTTGGCAGTGCTTCACTAACAGGCCTAATCTTATGCCAGCAATATGAGGTTGAGTGTAATTCTAATTATGTTGGATGCTGTTTGACGCATTTTTTTTTTATTTCTGAAGCGACACTGCTATTATTTTACTAAAATTCCTTTTAAAGATTGATTGGAGGAAGGTAAAACGGCCTTTTCTTAACAATAGTTTGGGAATTGTGTAACTAACTTTTTATTGCTTGTATTCAATCCATATTTACTGGGATTTATTTCAATGCATTGCCCCAGGTCTTTCCTGAATGTGAACTGAGACACAATACTTGGGCGGAATATGTATTGCCGACGTAGGGGAGGGCTGAGGAACTACAAGTATGACCTAGAAACCGTGCTGCCCAGTGGAAGTGCAAAGTCGGAAACCTAAGTATCAAAACGATCAGTTAAACAAATATTCATGGTGTTTCATTAAGTTAATATTACCTATAACGTAAAATGCTGTTCCTACTATCTTGATGTTAGTCAACCCAGGGATGACTGGGTGCCAATATTTAAGAAGGCTTTCTTCAAACTCGCGTTAAAAATATCTCAGAGCAATGTATGACTTGTTTGACTCCGGTGAAGCATTACAGATATTTGCTAGCGTCAAATGGCACTTATTTAACCGGAAATAAGGCTTATTTGGTGACTTTTCTCCTTAGGCTATACAAACACTGCATTACCGCTCTCAAGGGATCCGCGGTTTGCTCGTACACCTCCGTAGTTCTTTTAAAACCAACTCAGCAGGCGGCTTGCTGCACGATAAAGTTGTTGATGTGAATGCAAAAGCCATGCATAAATACTTGTTTGGAATTAGCTATCTAACGGAATAAAATGCGCATAGTTAAGAAAATCTGTTGAGTTAAGTACTCCTCCCACCCGTCTGCTATCAGGGTTTGGCAACTACTCGACTACCACAGTCCACAAAAATGTGTCCTATTTAGAGCTGTACTGCTCAAAGATAAAAGCTAAATTGTTCTCGGACTAGGGACCTGCTCTATTTAATTTGCTGCCTCAAGCTCTATCAATCTGTCTGGTGGAACCGAATGTCATAAAATGGCAGAAGCATATCTCACATGCATGGAACGCTGGCAGCCAAAGTACTAATGATGTCCTATCGACGGGTCAGGCACATGAGAGAAGGGAGACAAGTTAGACCTTTTTCGACCCATGAGTTTGAATTTGCTAAGGAGAAATCAAAACGAATAAGGCTTCGAACAGCTTCGTCCGGCTTGCGTGATACCGTCAATCCGGCGCCAGTGAAACCACAAAACCTCTGAAACAGCTAATGCATTCATTGAAAATAAAAATAACTTTTAGTTTCTCCTTTCCTCCTCTCGACTGTCTTGTTCAGCAACCCACTTCGGATAGGGAGAGTGGGGTGGGCTGGGGAGAGAGGACAAAAGCAAAAGCCAAGAATTGACATAGTTTTTTCGGGAATAAGAAATTCTCTATCAGACATTTGCACTATCAGGTCTGGGGAGTTAATTCATAATAATTAGTGTGCAAGAGACGAGTTGCAGGAAATAATCACAATTCTGCATGCTGGACGGCGGATGTATTTTACCTCGCCTGTAAGACGTGTGAGCACTTGCGTGTGTGATATCAGTGAGTTCATGTGCGGTAGGGATTCGCACAACATGAAGTGTTTTCGTTCAAAGGCGTGCACCTGATGGGGTTGGTGTGGAGTTCCGTACAAACTCCATCTTCAGACATAATTAATTGTGGTTGTGGTGTGGCGGCTCTGATGATAACGGAAACAACGACAGCACCGGTAGCAGTAGTAGTAGAGGTACAAAACTGCCAAAGTCTGAATGAAGTAAAGGCAAGTTTATGTGTTGTAAGCGCGTTCTCAAATCAAATTTATCTCATCTGGTGGCACAGTTAAGGTATGAAGGTAGAGGAGTGACTTTTGAAGCAAGACCAGAAGCCCGAATTCAATTGTATTTGGATGTGCAATCATTTGTGACAAAGATGGCACCCAAGTGAGTCACTGGCATTTACCGACTGGGCACGTATTCGCTTCATTACTTGCAATCAGGTCCCTGCACTTCTGATGCCTACACACACACACACTCATGCATAAACCTGTTACCCCGGAGATGCATAAATCAAGACCCACCTTCCCAGTGCCTCGTTTCCTCCTCCCCTGGCTGACCATCAAATCAACCCTCCGGCACTCGAGGCAGCGATAGGGGGAATGACGCTAGGAAGGTGGGAAGTGCTAACCAATCGCACTTGTCTCCCCTACGGGGTCCACCTCATTAACTGCGACCTTGGTAACCATATTGACATTGAGGTCTAGGTTGGGCAAATTTTGGTCGCTTTGCTTTTCATTATCTGATACCAGACGCGTCGATTGATAGAAACGTGCCCAAAAGACAAATAGTCCAGTTGAAGTACGGTAAATCGTTTGAAATTAGCGGATGAATTACTAATTTGGTGGTTCGTCCCCTTCCCCACTATTTTTGGCATTCGTGAGTCAGAATTCTTGCTCTACCTAATGCGCTTAGAAACAAATCCTACTCATGTCAATGGTTTATAATGCACTTCCCAAGTTTCTGGGACCATTATTACGATAAACTTTTAATTTTGTACATCGTTAGTGACGAGTCTTCCTGAACCCTCCAGTTGGGCAGATAGCGCATTCGATGTCTTATGCATTTCAGATGTGCAGACAGTTATGCGTCCTCCTGATGATTTTATCCAAACACAAGCTACGCATGCTCAGCCAAAAGCGCATTTGTTAAGACCTCGAGAAGATTTGGCAATTTAGGACATTAAGAGCTATGACATTTAATTAGTCCACATTTAATGACCGTGAGGGGCTGGTCAAGCATCACATGACGGTTTCCAGCTTGATAAAAAGTGGTAAATCACAATTCAATCGCGTTGATCACTATTCTATTTTGAGACATCTTGTAAACTACTATGGCGCTTGGAGTCTGTCCTGAAGAAGAAAAAACGTACATTAGTAGAGTGGAAAGGCTGGAGGCCAATGGAGTAGTCCAGAGGCCACTCTGCCCGACGTAAGCACGAAGGTGGAGCCCTGAATTCCAAAACAGAGTTAAACAAACGAGCACGATGATACATTGCACGATGATCACCTTCAGAATCTATTTATCCGGTAATTAACTTAAGTTTAATTGTCATCCTCTACTTTTTTTGCGTAAAATGTTTGTATATGCTATTACAAGGGGAGAAAGTAAAATCAAGACCATCCAGTTTACCATTGAAATGCCAAATTTTATCCCCAAATCAGTTTCAACAAGTATTCGAGATTTCTCCAGCTATGATTCTCTCTAAAGTAGTCTCCATTCGAAGTTACAGAACTAGGTCGCAGATACGAAGGAGACCACCACCCTCATACCTCAAATGAATGATTACCACTTTCAGTTACAGCCATGTGCTCTAACTTATGCTTCGTTGAATGATCTTAAGCCACCATAATCTGCTCCATTTGGTAAAATAAAAACACTACTAGACATTAATTCAAGCATTAATTCGGTGTAAATTTGAGTGATGAGGCGCCATGAGAACAAAATTAACAAAACCATATTTTGCATAAGCTCTCCTTTCAAAGGGTGGGTTTAAGTTCGAGCGAAAAGTAAAAAAGGACCGAGCTTTTTCTCTTAAGGGCGATTAAAGCTGCAGCAGCTGCTTCGTCTCACAATGTAATTTTTGCACAAAATTGCGCCCCATGAAGTTATTCCACCCAAAGTTGCAAGTTGTATGGCCTATGAGTCGGCCTTTGCACAAAGGGCTTCCCACGCCTTATCATGTCTGTTCACATCTCCACCCCTTGTGTCATCACTTAGGCTTGCAGGTGACAGTCATTCAGATTATTATGGTACTTGCGCAAAGAATCGGGGCGCTATCCAGTCTATGGCCATTAGTGACATTGCCTTTTCAAAAAGAAGATTTTTAAGCCTTGTTGATTTTGACTGGAGAATGTACATAATTTTTTTACATCTGAGTGCTATTACATTCATCGCCAAGTAAATGTGTTGTTTTTACATCTGGCGAGTGCTTTTTGGAAGTTTAGTATTCGCCCGATCGTTCGATCACTCTTCCAAGTGCTATGATAAAATTATCAGGATTGCACACATACATGTCTGTAGACTGTGCGACCAATTGCTCAGCTATTTCAACCAGCTAGTGTTCATTAACAGCGATAGAATTAACTATAGCTATTTACTTTTAAATAGAGGACATAAAAACAGTAAAGAGGGGCATGTTTCAAGGTCAGTTGGACAAGTTTTAGAAATTTGCCTGTATACTGCAGCTCCAGTACCCCACCTCGACGGTTCGGAAGGGTATCTTCGATTGTGCAGACCAAATGTGCGCCACAATCAGGCAGTGGTTTTTCGGATGCAGTGTGCTTAGTGGAGAAGCAAGCACCACCCCCACTGCCACATCCCCACTTGCGTCTGTGCTGCGCGCTTTCGACCCTGAAAGCGACCAGATCCGAGTCCGTGCGCAGGTTCCTTGGACGTCTCTCTTGAGTGTTGGTGTATGATCGTGGTGGTGGTAGTGGCGGCAGCAGCAGGTGTGAATGGGATTGCCTGGGCTATGCTACCGGTGTTGTGAATCCTTGCGCACATCCCCTCTGTAGGAATAATGGTTCTGTGGGACCTTTACTAGCACATTTAGGGTTCAATTGGTCTCACTATGCCGTGATTAAGAAATATCGGGTACACGCCAGACCATGCTTCACTCTAAAGTATTCACCATTTCAGCAATATATTACATATTGTCAGGATTTTCCTACCATTCACTGTGGTCAGAATAAGTTTTGTAGCGAAATTTAATGCTTAGAGGGGTACCCTCCAATACCTACTTTATTATTTTCATGAACCTAATTGGTAAATCACATATTTCGCCACCTTAAAATTCCTCAACAAGTAACTACCGTGGGTGCTTATCTCGCCAAAAAGTGAATGTCACTAAGTACAGTCTTCTTAAGATGAAAATCACCGAAAGGGCAACGATTTTAAACTCTACCACTGCGCGAATGAACCCAAAACTTATGATAGCGGAAATTTTTCGTAGATAAAGTATTTACTGTCTTTGAGAAGCAACAGCAACTAGTGGTGTACAACCTTTATTAGGATTTAGTGATTAAACGAATAAGCAAATTTTCTCCCTTTTTCTAGCCGCATTCGTCAGCATGGTCCGAGCGTACCTCCTCGGTTCCGCATAGTTGTCGCAGCGGCGACAATAACAGGGGCAGTGAAACGGCCACGGCAGCTTTGGGGGGAACAGGAGGGGATGAGGCTGAGCCACAGTGGGTGCGCTATTGTGTAAGCTGTTGCTTAGGGGCCACCGACACCGGTGGAGGCGGGGGTATTTCCCCCTCGGTGGGGGTAGCCCAGACCCTTTTGACCGGTCTGGCAGGAGCGGCACCTTACCCGCGGCTTGCAGATGTCGCACGGTGCTCTCTCCTAGCCTGTGAGCAGCGCGAGGCGCTATGTGCTCGGCAGGATGCCGAAATCGCTGTCCTTGAAGCCTCTTTGGCTGAGGCGAAGGCTACTGGTAATCAGCTCCACTGTCGTCTCAGCCAAATTGAGGCCTCATGGGGTGCTGCTAACCGCGCTGCTGAATTGGCCGACATGGCTCTTGAGACTAGCGGTGTGCTTGTGCATGTAAGTTCTCGCCGTCCTCGCAAAACTTTGGTTTTTGTCACATTTATCAATGTCTTCCATAAGAGCTTTGGTGACTATGTATGTCTAATCTAATTGTCACATTTGGTAACTTGGAAATAGTTTCTTCATTTCATTGAGAGTTAAAATATTATTTATCATTAGTTTATAGCAATCACTGAGCTAAATGTGCGTAATATTACTGTCACATTTCGTTTTGAAGCTAGGGGGGATTAAACGAGTACTTCTATCGGATTTTTAAAACTTTCCAGTCAGACCGACACTTGTGCAAGCTAATAATACCTGGAGGGAACCCTCAAAACAATGTAAAAGATAAATTTCTTTTCCAGTCGGGAAAGACGGAACCCTGCTATTAATTTTAAATTCATTAATTTGTATATCCAGGCCAACTTTGGTCATTAGGCGGGAAAGCACTGCTTGTGTAAGTCCAAATAAATCAAAATATTTTTGTCCTTGTGAAATTTGTTGCGTTTGATCTTCTGGGGAGGCTTTTTACTTATCCATGACTTGCGCCAGCTGTACTCCTCGGAACTGGCTCTGTTACTGCATAAACAACCACACACTGAGAGGCGTCCGAAATCAAGGAAATCACTTCAGGACAGGTCTTTCGGACGCCATTCGCTGTCTAGATCCGCATTCACTAGCAGTTCCACATCAACCTCTTCCTCGTCATCATCTTGTTCCTCCTCCTCCGGGGACGAACCCCAACGATCCTGCAAAGCCTCAAGTGCCTCTGTAGTACCGGCCAGTTGCCACCACGTTGCTTCGGTGAAAAAGAGCATTGGCCGACAGATCCAGCCACCCGCTGCCACCAGTGATAGCGGAAGCAATGTCTATGCTCTCTATGCAATGAATGAAAAATCCTCCGACGAGGCCTTGCACCTTTCTATACCAACTTGGATCCCGCCCCATGCCGTGTGCAGTGGACCTGCATGTTTGCGACTCCTCAAAATGCAGAGGTACGGCCTTTTCATTTATAAGGCCAAACTTTCCGAAGACATCAAATTACAAGATTGCATCAGAATATTAAACTTATAAATCAAGTATTTTTAATGAATAGAAGCTCAGCGTGATTACCATTGAGTTGTCATTTAAAAACACTAAAATTAATGTAATTATGCAACATCTCAGCAGAACTTATTCCGTACTTGAAAGTGGTACTTGGGAAGCAGCGATCAACTCAAATCTCATCTGAATATATACTTTAATACTGACTATTCTGGTTATTCCTGCCTGCGAGCTGAAATCCATATCCTTCATTTGAGAGTAAATTGGTGTAGAGATTGGCGATTGAATGCATTTGTGTTTTGGTGATTTAAAAGTTATGGCTTCAAAACATCGCATCGCAATATCCTGATTTTTCACAGCACCGCAATAATAGCGACCCAGCGACGTATTCATAAATTCACATGAGAAGAAATATTCTAGTGCTCCTGGCTGCTCCGGGCAGGACCTGACCCGCCCCCCTTCTAAACGCTGATAAATGACTCACCTGGGGGCCACTTAATTGGTATTTTTTTAATAAGTCCCTACTTCTTGGGCAAGCACATACACACACACACAGATACACCCTGAGAAGCACAGCCGTTGGATTACCCTCACTCCTTCATCGCTGTGATCAAGAAGAGACTCATTTTTGTGTCGGTAGGTTTCAGTGATTTCAATGGGGGATGGACAGTGGGTGGGGAACATAAGACTCAGTAACAGGACGCACAGCTCAGTTCTTGATAATGACCGATAGGATCGTAATTCATCATTAATTCACATATTTGGTTGCCCTGCCATACTCGTTTTACCTCACCTTAGCTGTTAGCTGAGGGTTGGGTCATTTTGTGTATGGTTTTGGCTGAAGGAGGGGGGCTCGAGTGCGTATTTAGTACTAGATCAACGAGTTACACAGTGAGACACGTTAAATTGTGCTGCGACTTAGATGTCCAAGTCCTCTTTGACTAGTTTAACTACAGCACTTGATCCTTTCCTAAACACAAACCCTATCCCCACTCCACAGGCGTAGACAAGTATTAGTGGCATCTTTGTTTCGTGTTAATTATCCATTTAAGACCATCAAAATGTCATAAGCGTGTATTATGGCAGACAATTGAGCAGTCAAACAGATACTGCATTTGAAATTTGGAGGCTATCAATACACATCATTTTGCTTGTTATAAAGTTACCAAATCAGAAGTAAAGTGATGAACAATGTCATTGTGGGCATGATAAATAAACATTTGATTTCGTGATGTACTTTCAGTAAGCCCAAGTGTGCTAGTGCAAGCAAGAAAGAATAAAAAACAGAAGTTTGTCCCTGAAAATGTAGGAAACGAAGCGGCATGAGTTGTGACGGCAAATGAAAAATGTCGTCCATATGTGCCTTCTTATCTTCATCAAAGAGAAATTAACGGATATTTCCATTTAAAAGCACGTAATTTAATTCAAGCGCTCTTGTTATCTACTTTGAATCTCTATAACCGTCCATTGTAGGCATCAAACCGAGCTGACAGCCCTGCATCTGCTCGGCCGATTCGCATCCACATCAGAGCCCTTTCTAAAGCCTGAAAGTCTCAATTCCACAATTGTAGAAGACTTTGGTCATAGCACCACCAATGGTAATCGCAGCACGGCGACGGGGACAGAAAGCGGGCTAGGAGCGGAGTCTGGAGGCAGCAGCTCAGGTATGGGGGCTCATGGGGTGTACACAAATGCTTGGGGCATCGCTACCAGACCTGCTGCCTCCACACGACATGCCTTCAAGTCTGGTGGGGGGGGCGATTGTGGTTGGCAGACACCCGACTCCGGTGCGGACAGTTTCAGCACCAACGATCACACCGCCAGCACTGCGGCCACCAAAGCCACTGCGAGCCTTGCGGTCATAGCTGGCGTACCGAACACACATACCTGCGCCTCCTGTTCCTCCAACTCTTCTTCCTCTTCTGCCGCCGCCGGTGCTGTAGTTATCAACTCAGGCGTAGGTGCGGGAGTATCCGATGCTACTGCTGTGCTCCACGACGTTAATGTGTGGACTCGAGTGAAGGAGATGAGGTTGCGCCATATTTTGGATCAGATTATTTGGGAACGAATGCTGGTGAGAAGCACCATCGCTGTAGGCGTCAACAACCTCGAAGCCGGTTGCTCGGGAGTTCCGCGGGGTGGAGAATCCCACTACGTGAAACCATATACTGGAAGTGAGGTGAGTTTGCCAGTGGACTCTTCAACTAAACCATTTCCATCTTTACTCATAGAGTTTAAACGATTAAAACAATTTCTTTACTCAATTTTAGATTAATTTTAGAGTAAATGAAACGCTTCAGTTGCTATCATCTTACGCACAGTGTTGCAGATCGATGTGACTGAAATCGTTTCTTGTTTTGGTACATTTACATCTTCGTTAAAATGGGGTCGCAAGATACCGACCGTATTTTCTAAATCAGACTCGATTTAATACAACATTAAGTTTTGCGTACCTTTTCACCTCGGAAAATTCTACGAATATCGTTTGGAGTCTGGTGAAGCCAACTCGTAGATCACTTTTGAAATTTTAAGTTGTTTACAGATATATTTGATCCCCATCGCGACATTTTCGACCTAGATGAAAGGTCAAATTAACTGCCTCACTGTCCATCTCCTTCCAAAAAGCAGTCTTTTATTGACTAAAGAGTATCCCCAGAAATTAGATTACCTCTTTGTCGCACCGCCACTCCTAAATGGATGGCATTACCCTTTGTCGACTTTCACTGTCTTCACACACTTCTTCCATAGCAAAAGGATAAGATGGTGTTTAGAATTTTAAATTTGATTTGATGCCGAATGTTTGGCATATCTACCTCTAATAATCTAGAAGATGCTTAATGGTCGAGGACCACTTTTGGGCGACATCCTCGTTATGTCAGCAATATAATCATTGAAGAATTTGATGGGGACCTATGTCTTCCTTTTGCCAGAAACCATCAAAGTAGAGGCGTTCCTCTACTGACATTTTAGCCTAGTTCTTCGATGAGCACTTCCTTGTCCTCATTGTCAAACGGTATCGAGGACACAAAGCCGGAAATCAGATGACTTGCAATATTTCGCAGTGCTAGGTCATAGGCTATTTCAAAGGAAACTTTTCAATGGGTCAAATTTGCAGCACCTTGTTTCAGTGCATCTCGCGCCACCCAGACAGAGCCGTCAACCGTCCGTATTAAAATGACAGTAACGTCAAACGTGTGTTTCGAGGACACTCAGAGGCTGAAGCTATTGGGGTGAAGCCAACCGTATATACATAGTTATCATCCTTTAAGTATAACATCGGGTTAACAACATTGGTGGCATTCTTCAAATAGGACAAGTCTCATAGCTAATTTGTTCAAAAATTGTCTTTTCTTTGTCAAAGTTCTTCGTAATCTGCTTCAATTTATGATTTAATGGAAGATGTAATTCTATCAGCAAAATAGCCTAATTAATTTCCCCGGCCCGCCTAGAGTCATTAGCATAAAATGTCAAGCACCGAAGGCGAACCTCTAGATGGCACGAAACCGCTTCTGTTGTCTGATGCCAGGATATCGCCGAATTTTCAGGCACTTCATTGTCTGAACACTTGACTTTACCATCAGCCTTGTTTCATTTCTCGTTCACATCTACCCGGGAATCCCGCATGCATTGCTGATTTTAACCATACATTTTTGGCCATTCCTATTTTTGTAAATGAAAATTTTTGTTATCAGAAGCCACTTTTTTAACGGCTCTCACATAAAGGAATACGAATCGGAATCTATAAATAACCAGCGAAACGTTCAAGTATGAAAATACTGATTTCGTTTCAAAAGTGGACTCGTTTTGACAACGTTTTAAAATGCTTAATTTGTCCACTTGATCTGTTGCTGTAATGCACCGCACTGAGTCTTCGCTGAAGTCGTAATAAGTCGAAGTGGCATAAAGGAATACGTATTACCAATGTATGGAATATGTGGGCGGCTATAAAACTGGCCCGGTGTGGAAGTACAAACTCCTGAGACTGATGTTCCCGTGTAGCTAAACCCGCTTAAAGCAAATATGAAACCACTGTATTATCAGACCTCACATGCATTTTTAAGCATGGACTAAAACTTTACTTACAAAATGTAGGGGGTTTGGGTTTTATCTTTTTCGTGATACTAAAACAAAAGTCGTTTAGTTCTGTCTTAATAACTATGAAAAAGTAGTCAGTGCCAGTTGGCTTAACGAATTCATACAGCGCTAGTTATGAAGTATGAAGTATTCGGTTCTAGTGTAATGTATTAATTGTTTGTTTAACTCTGGGTTTTGGTGACTGGCCGCCTGGGTAATTTAGCCTCCCAGCCTTGCCAGTATCCACCGAGCCCTTCAATAGGTCTACAATACATATTCTGCTCGAGTATTATGTCCTCTTACGTCTTCAAGGAAGACTACGGGTGCTACAGGTTATCGGAGAGTGCTAAGAGGTTTTTAGACGACTAAATATTAGCCGTAAGTTATATCCACATCGGTAAGTAGAATTTTAAAACGGATAAAACAAGTTATCTTCCTCTATTTGCAAGCAGGATGACAGATTACAGTGAAAGAAAGTTTAATCAAGCCCTCACATATGCACAAGGCGAGGCGGATGGCAAGATTGCCTGGATGAAAATTTCGACATCACTACTCCTTTTTCCATCTTCCTGTTTTGTGTTTATTTTCATTATATTCTTATTTCCGTTTAAGTTTGTCTGCAGCAGCATTATTGGCTGGAGATTACGGTAAATAAATAAGAGCCGCCCAATCATTGCATACCTTGGAGGTCACTGAAAATTACTACACTCAATTATTTTCTCCCTCGTGTTTTCGTGGACGAGTAAGCTATATTTCGCACATTTGGTCTGATAGCATTGCTTCCCCATGTTTGATCAGAATGTATGCACCATACCGGTCACGTTCATTTCTTGTGCTTGTGACTGACTGCTGGAGCATCCACGTTTTTGGTGGATTCACGTAGACTTGTAAGTAGTGCAAGGATTTTAAGTGAGAGGAATCGGTTTTGCACTCAAACAGGCATTTTTACACAAGTGATCAACTTTTAGCTTAGGTCAATCTCGCATTGAAGGCAGGTATACAAGGGTTGAAGCATTGACCTTGGCATTTTGTTTTGGCCAAATACAGCTACCTACAATTCACATGCTCGGAGGCGTAGGCAACAATTTAGATGCATGGTGTAGATTTTGATAACCTTGTTTGGGGACGCCTTTTCACCTACCCATCTCCACCCCCCTGCCTACCTATTCACCACCGCCATCTACCCGCACATGCACACGCACACGCAGATGCGCTCGCCACCAACCCTTCCAAACACGCTTTTCCAAATCGCATTTGTGTGCATGTGTTTAGCAGACCCCAGTGAGTCACGGCGGGTTCTTACGCGGGCGTGGGTCGTCTTCGCCTCTAAAGGTCAGCACGATCCAAATGCCTCAGGCTCTCTCTCTGTGTGTGCATATATGCAAGTGCCTGAGCGTTTAATGGTGCGGAGTGCATAAAAACTCGAGTGATTGGGAAATTCGCGGAAAAAAGAAACACTATTGCATTGCACATTTGGAGGTAATTCAATATGAGTCATAGAATGAAATCGTCCATCTTCAATAAACTCACTAAATGTGTATATTTATATTTTGTGGTCCAGTAGTGACCCAATTATTTTCCTTGTAAGAAGAGAAAAACGCAAATATTTTAATGGAATGGGGAGATTGGGTTTCAGAAGTCTGGTCATTTCTCACCGAAATGGTATTTGGTCTACCTCCTTACATTTCAGATACCTGCCTACAGTGAAGGTGGACCCATGGGTATGACGACACAGGACTCCAGAGACCCTGCAATTTCAAACCGACTCAACGCACTCTTCATGGTGGATACGGCAGCTCTGATGCAGGTATGTGTCCCTTGATGGTTTGCTTGCTTGAGTTGATGCTGTAGTTGGGAATTAGTCCCAATGTGATCTGATAAAAATAGTTATATTCCGTAGATAGCACCAAAGTGTTGTGAAATTCTAACTACTACTGGGAAATGCTACAGTCTTTCTATGCACAGGGTCGGGTTTTTCAACGAAAATACGTAAGACTTCTGTGAAAATTCCTCTCTGCAAAATTCTGTTTCTCTGTGCATATAAATAGTGGTCGGAAGGGTATTTTTTGCATGGCGCAATTACCCTACTTTGCAAAATGTTTGTGTCCCGCACTGTCCAGAAGACCACCATTATTTTATCCTGTTTGCTTGATCTCATTATGATGTACTACTGTCTTTTTGGCACATACTCAATCAACATACATTCTTAGATAGTCTGTCACTGGCAAAGAAATGGGAAGCAAATTTCAAATTAAGAGCTAACCATACTTGTATAACGTATAGCATTCGAAACTGTTTCGTCAACTAGATACACTAACTTCCCGTATTCATTTTGTGAAGCGTTAGTGAATTCCTTTATGAAATCTAATTTGCGCTATGTAGTGCCCTGATAGATCCCCGAATGCGAAAGAAAACATAGTACTAGGGCCGACTATGTGTTGCCGACGCAGATAAGGGGTCGGGGTGCTACTCACATGTCCTGGAGGCTATGCTTTCCAGTGGAAGTACAGAGGTGAAGCCTTAAGTTTTCACCAAGACAAGTCGAAGAACTAAACAAATAGTCAAAGTATTGTATAGCCACTCTCCCATGTTAAATGCTGTCCTCAGCGCTCCCTTGGCCAACCCCCCCATCAACCATCACAACGTCGTAGTCGGTGCTGTAAGAAAAATCGACTACAAACCAACTGCACCTGTCATCGAATTTGCTCACAACATCACAGATCCCTCTTGACAATCCCACTAAATCTCGACTTTTATCCTGTTTGGGTATTGTATTGGGAGGGGGGCAGAGTGTGCTGGCCATCATGTATTTTCATCGCCAGTTGAAAGAACACTGGCTTAAATGCAGGGTCATTTAATAAAGGACGGGCCTAAAATAATATCGTGTGGATAGAGTTTACCGCTTATTCCTCCTTGCCACTTTGTTCTCACTCCAGTACTGCCCAGCCACTTCTATCTATCTAGGTTCTATCCAGCTAGTAGAGAAGTGGAAGAAGTCTACATCTACATTCAGTCTGCATCTTCAAACAGGCACTGCAGACAGTTCACAGACACTGTTGCTGAAATCGTTATAGTAATCCTGCAGAAGACAAAACTGGGGTAGTTGTCGAAGGTAGACGTCATTTTAAACCCTTCCCTTAGGGATCGTCGCAGATTTTCCCACACTCAACGTATTACCTTCATCAGTTACGCTAGTATTTAATATTTAGTGCTAGAAATCCAAGTATTCGTCCTTTATGATTGGGCTTGCTTTACGCTACCACCAGTACAGCGCCCCGGGACTTTTTTGAAGACGAAAGAAGACATAATAAGTCATTATATTAGAGCAGAATATGTATTATCGACGCATAAAAGGGATAGGGGACTACGAGCATGACCCAGGGGGCTTCGCCCAGTGGAAGTGTAGAAGCGAAGCCTTAAGCGTCCTTGAAACTAAAACGAGAAATGAAACAATTGGTTAAAGCATTACACACAAATTTGAAGTTTCTGGTACGGTGATTGGTAGTTATTTCTGTTTTTCTAAACATTTGATAGCAAAGGACTTTATGGCTTGCATTCAGCAGTTTGAACGTTCAGTTGTTTCAGCTAAAAATGTTTTTTGAACAAGTTTGTAGGTTTTTACAGACCACTAAACTTAAACCTGTGTCGTTTCTGGTGAACCGAGTTTGAAAGGAATTGTGAACGCATCTGCCTCACTCGAGAAAGGCTCTGACTAACGAGATGCTGACCCATAACTGAACAAATTTTCAAACTTAAGCAGCACAAGTCCCTCAGCTGCAAGGGTGAGAGCTCATCCCCACACTGACACAAACCCTCCACGGGCAAAATGATGAGTGTGAGGTGTCAGATTTTAAGCGCCTCTCTGTGGCTGGATGAGGAGTAATATATGTAGGCGGAGTGGGAAAAGTGGTAATTACGATAAATTTCAAAACGAACGGTTCCATCCAGCTTCTGCACAAACATACACACACACAACGTACCGTCCGTGTGCGGCGATATCCCTAAATGCACTAATCTTGCTCATCTCTGACAAATATGTTTATTTTAGGAAGTAACAGGAACCAACTAAATCATCTTAACAAAGCGTAAAATACATCACACTGTCACGGCAATGCTTATGACATCTGACAAATGCATTTGAAAGGCGTATTCCTTTTTTGTAATGCCCGAACCGGAACCACTTTATTTGGGTGGGAAATGTTTTACAACTTGATTGCAATAATTCCTAACTTAACTAATTTGGACGCGCCTTGCACTGTCATTGAAGGTACACATGCGGTTTCGTACCTATACCTCATTTCTAATATCCAGGAATGCACTAAGGAATACAGGGTCTTTACATCTCCGCCTTTCGATTAATTAAAGATTCACAAGGTTTAAATGCGATTTGGTTGAATGGTTCGCATATAGGCTTTTTTCCTTCAGCTAACTCTATAATTCGTTAGTAAATGCATTCCGCCCTCAAATAGGTTGGAAGTTTTACTGTGGCCGAGATTTTCGAGCATCACCGGTTGGATTGTGAATTCAAAAATTAATTAAACTCCATTGTGTTATCATCACTTGCATTTATTATTCGTGATTTGTATATCTCGACTATTAAATGCCTTAAACATCCCTTTAAAGTGGTATTTCGACGGCAAAATTTATCGATACCCGAAACTGAACGGTGTCTGGAGGTATTAAGGCAGACTAAACAATGCGTTTCAAATAAAGTTCAACAGTTCCGATTTCCAAGCTGCGATCTAAAATTAGAGACACATCCTTCCTTATTTTGAATTCACACTCCAAACATTCTGTTCCCCCAATTTAAATTTTCCTGTGAAATAAAATGTTTTAAGGTGCCTGCATTCGATGCTATTATCTATGGAAGCAAACGCCATTATCTCCGGTATATTGTTACATTTTTTTTGAGGAAAACGGAAGCTAAGTAACATTAGACTCTTACTACAGGGGAGGAGGAAAAGTAAATGCGACGCTACGACTAATGGGCACGAAAGATGACTGTCAAAGGCGGTGTGTTTACATCACATACAGGTTTACGTCATTGTCACACAAACAATCTTATGAAATAAGGTAGATGATAAAAATTATGCTCCCCCCAATAGATTCTTTGTGGATGTGAATTATTTAGGTAAACAAGCTAATAAAAGCGGTTTTCCCCCTTTCTCTCAATTAACGCGATGGGTTTCCCAAGTAAAATAATTTTTGTAGATTATTTAAGTAACGACGAACACATCATCGACGAATGAGTTTTTTTACGGATCTCCTACTTCTTTAGCCACGGGTCTTTAGTATCTGATTTGGATACCGGTTGCAGTGTCCCGAGTCTTTCTTGAGGACGAAAGGAAGTACCATACTAGGACTGAAAAGGTATTATCGACGTACAGGAGGCATAGGCTGCTATTGGAATGGTCTAGAGGCCATGCTTCACAGCGGACGTACAAAGGCGGAGGCTTAAGTGTACTTTAAACCAAAACAAAGAGTTGAACAAATGATCACAACATTGCGTAGCCACTCTCATGTTGAATGCTGTCCTTAGCACTCCCTTTATCCAACCTCCATCGTTGATCATCATCGCGTATCAGCGCTGTAAGGAAAATTATCGATAAAACAACCAAGCCACAATATTATCGATGCCTTCTGGCAATTTTATTGAATCTTGACCTCCGTCCTGTTTGGAAACGATATTGAGGTAGAGGAGAATGTTCTGGCCATCGTGTATGTCCATCGTCAGTTGAAAGAACACTGGCCTAAATGCGCAGTCATTTAACAAAGGATGGGATTTATAATAATATCTTGTGAATTGAGTTTTGTGTTTATTCCTCCTTGTCACTTTGTTCTCACTCCAGTGCTGCCCAGCTATTTCTATCTATCTAGGTTCTATCTAGCTAGTACAGAAATGGAGGAAACATCGCGTTTACTTAATTGACTTCTTTACAGAGGTAACTTAGACAACTCCTTAGTGAATTTTTCCGGCTGGTTCAAGGTTACTGCAGCTCCAGTTGTTAGTAGCACTCCTTCAAAGCGCAGAATGGGGGTAGTTGATGAAGGCTGACGTAGTTTTCAGCGCTTCTGTTGGAGTTCGTCGCAGATTCTCCCATGTACAGCATATGCTCTTCTTCCATCACGTTAAAGTTTGGCGTTCAAGGATGAAAATCAAGGCAGTTGACCTTTAAGATAAGGTTTGCCTTCGGCTGCCACCAACGTAGCGTCCCGAGCCTTCCTTCAAGTCAAAGGAAGTCCTAATATCAGGATGTAATATGTATTGCCGGCAAGTATAAGGGCTGAGAGGCTACTAACACTGCCCAGCGGAAGCACAAAGACTGAGGCTTAAATGTCCTTGAAAGAAAAACGGAGATTTAAACATGTAATCAAAGCATTAAATAATTGCTTGTAGACTCAAAATTGTTCATTTTTAGCAGTCAATGGAATCGGTTGAAATGGTCATTTACATTCCTTGTCTTCCTCAAACAGGACCTATGCTCAGTGAAGGAGGATAGGGCGAAGTTAAAGGTGCATAATTACATAATGGAGAAGGAGTTACGGGCGATTCAACTGAGTCACCAGCGTCACTGCCTTTTGGAGTCCACCCTGCGATCGCAATTGAACGCCCTGCAAATTGATCGTAATCTCCAAATGCTTAAGGCATCGGATCGCAGTGGCATCCCGAATCCACTCGCACAACAGATCGAAGTGAGTCCCCCTCTGTTGGAAGCATAATGCAGCTTCAGATTCGATGGTTGGTTAAATCTTTTAGGTCGCATTTTCCATCATTGCCTGCACTGCATTGAGTTGATGTACTAGTGCTTCGGAATAAGCTATTTAAATAGCCATCGTGTATTCAACAATCGGAACTCCCTTCTAGTGGTTGATAAAACCCACCGGTTGTGCACAGGCCTCAGTTTTCGTAAACATGTCTAGAGGTCTAAACGGACATATTTTTGTCGTCTGATTTACATTAAATACTAGGGCAAAAGACTCCGATAGATTGGTCTCATTAACCTTCCACTGGTGAAACTGGAGGGTGAATGTGCCGACATTATCGTGGGTCAATTTTACTCCGTTAATCACACCACGAAAACAATCTTTATGACACGAATATTTTTGTAATTGTACTTAATTACTATTCAAAATTAGGTTATAGCAAAATAGTTTTCAGATTTGGCTATTCCTTGTGAATATCATAAAGTATACCCTCATTGATAGCGAACATGAATCTAATAAAATGAATAACATTACATTTAGAGTATGCAATCAGCATTCGAATCCCTTCGAAAAGGCGCCGAGCACCACCAAACCCAGAGCGAGGAGCTTGTCAACGACCTGAAGCAAGCAAATGCAGCCCTCATCACAGCCTTTGAGAAGGCCAAGTCCAAGTACCTTGCGCGCATTCGAAAACTTGAGAGCCAAATCCTGGCTCCCTCATCCACACTGATGGTATCTCGACCTGCCTCATCCACTGCTTTCGCTCCCACCAAGCACACCATCTCCACACAACCTCCCATGGTTCCGGCTCACAAGGCGGCCCATCCGGAACCTCCCTTACCTCCCCTGTCACCCTCGCCGGCGTCCGACGTCTATGAGGTTATCCAAGACTCACACGTTGGTCCCGTAACCATCAGGAAGAATCCCGGCCAGCCCCTCCTCAATGCGACAACTTCAGGAGATGCTACTTCGCAGAATAGTTGCTACTCTCTGGTGCGAAGTGCGCCATTTTATCCGAATCAGCCTATGCCGACGATCAACAGAGCGCCTCCCAGAGCCAGATGATATGACTTACTGAGTTGCAGCCAGAACTGGCTCTGCAGATGATAACACTACACAACCGGGTCGCTTTCCACCGTCCTCTCCCTCCATTCTTCCTTCCTGTTCTGCAACTACTGTGCCTGCTGTATAAATGTGCTTCTTCTCCCTTGGCATAGATAGCTCCCCACACCTGAAATCCCATCTCCTTCTCTTACTAGGACTTATATAAAATGGTTGATTTTTTTCTCACTGTCATATGCAATAAAGATGGTGAACTACGGTCTTGTGCTATAAGGCCTAAGGATTACTCTTCCTGTTTCTATTCTGTAGAGACTTACGGAGTAGAAAAGTATTAGTTGCGGAAGGTGATCTTAAAAAATTATGCTAACGCATTCGTCCATATCACGGATCAAGGGAGAAATTTGGAATGAATAACAAATTACTTCGGTCAATTTTTTTGCGGTTTATTTTCCATTTAGCAGGAGGGTGGTACTAAATACTTTGAAGAGCCCTTGAAGACCATACATTACAAGGTTAAAAGAGGATTTACAAACTGGCCGATAGGCACCGCTTCTTCGAGTAGCTAACACTCAATGGTGAGCTGACACATATTTGTAGATAAGCACCCTTACCTCTCTATTTCAGTCTATCAGTGAGACTGAGACCTTCGACGCTTGACCTTTCAAATAAATACTCCGACACAGTTGCCACGACCTTTTTCCATCTTTACCTGATGAGTACGCACTCGCCTCTGGATTTTCAAATGACCTCAAATGTGAGAAGGCCCAGCACGGAAAACCTAACTCTGACATTTCAACCAGGATGAGTTTTCAACCTTGTCAACAATACAGACTTTTTTCGCGCTTTCACGCGTTTTTGCTTTGACGTGACGAGAAAAAGTAGGAAATGAAGCTTGACTTGCATCGAAAAGACGGGCATGGCGTTTCTACCGCTGTCTGACTCACTTTTTTTCTGGAAATTGCTGGCATCCACTGTAGCGACATCTACTTTTTAGACATATCAAAACTTCGAGGCTATCTAGAATGATAAGGCCTAACTTCGTGTTTCAACGCATCCTTTTGCATTATCCACAAGCATTAAGGACGCCATGGTTACACTAGAAATGGGTAGCTAATAATGTAAGACGTTAACTATCCCACCGTAGCACTTTATAATTCCTCCATGCACCATACATTACTAACTCCTTTGACTGATCGCGTTAAACGCAGATACACTTCACCTGACATTCAAACGGCTATTTTGTCTTCAATGCACACAAATGAAAGATTCCGAACAATGCTTCGTAGCAGAACCACACGTACACGTGTAGAGTGATTAGCCCAAGACTGGATTGGTGACTACGCATGCTTCTGCAACGGTCGTTGCCTCTGCTACAGCCGTCGTTGTTGTAGCTTGTGAGCGAGAATGGAAAAGACATGGATTATCGTCAGTGCATTTTCAAGTTAGATGAATCGCCACAGCACCCAAACGGGGCAGCAAAATTTATTTCAATTTCCGAAACACGGGAAATGTACAAATAGGATCAATAATAAATTTACATTGCCTTCCGTGTGTGCAGACTGGTTCATGTGCACCAGCAGGGCAAAGTGGCTACAAAATGGAAAAAAAGGTGAGAAGGCGAGAAATTCTAGAAACGCCACGAAGATTTATGCGCACAGAAGGGCCAAAGAAACGACAGTTAAGATGATTCTAGTTATTTATTAGACAAGCTAAGGGGCGAATTCCCGTCCATAGGGGTAAATGAAAACGGAGAAGAAAATAGATTCAACTTGCACCTTAAATGACAATCTTTTTAAGAATCATAAATTTGCCCAAAAAAGATCTTATGAACCAGTTTCTCACTAGTAATCAAAAATTTTTTACAGTCCCTTCTAACCTTGGATCGCAGGCTTCTTGCAAGCGTACATTTGAATCAAGCCAATGATTGAGTATCCACCTTTAACCTTTAGTGGTGGCGGCGAAAAAAAATATCAGCCAGGTCAGTTCAGTTACTTTAACTGTATACTTGGGAATCCTGGTATAAGGTCGCTTTAAATTAAAAATTGACTTAGACTGTTGAAAACAAACCAACAAAACAGAACCCGCACCTCAAGACAGCCAGTAAACGAGTCTGTCACTTACTCGTGATTGGAAAACATTTGTATCGGCGCTTCTGACTGCAGATATACCTCTGAATCCTCTCTTGAATTCTAAAAAGGAGGCAGAGGATAAACGACACATTCTAACAGCTCAATTTCTTGTGCTTTGTGGCGTGGAAAGGGGCGGAGGTGCACACAGGAGATGGGGCATCAAAAGTGTGACTCAATCGCAAAATTAAATCAGGTGACCAAAGTAGTCTGATTATTTATGAGTCTAGTGATTGTGGTGTGGTAGTGCCACACGCTTGTTGCTGCCCCACTGGTGTGTACCGTGTTCACAACAAGTGTGCTAGATACACAGGTATGCATGAAGA